TCATTAAATGGTGCATGTAAATTAATTGTGTATGTTAAAATAGTAAATTTATTCATTTAATTGTGCATGTATTATTATAATTAATTTTATTTGTTGATTATGTTTAATTAAGCAATATTAGTTAATTAGAATATTATATTTGTGTTATAAAGTATTATGATGATATAATATATTATTTTGTAATAACAATAATAATAATTATATTAGTTTAATAATAATAATAATAATAATATAATAATAATAATAATAAAAGTTTATTAATAATAATAATAATAGTTATAATAATAATAATAATAGTATTAAACCAATGTCATGATGAAATTTGAGATTAGGATAGGATTGCATCAATGTTTATGGGTGGAATTGAAGCCTTATGGTTGGGAGGATGGTTAGTTGATGAAAAAATAAGATATTTGTAATATTTATATTATATATTTTGTATATAAATTAACTAGCTTGCCTTAGAAGAAAATAAAGGGAGTTAGAAGCAAAGTATCAATTCTAGAGAGCTATTTTATAAGAGTGAAAGGAAAAGAGAAAGAGAAAGAAGCTTGGACCGGTGTAGGCAATTTTACCCGACTACGCGCAGACCGGCGGATTTATTTTAAATCCAAAAAGGCAAGTTATTATCTACTTTTCCCCTTTGAATTAATAAATTAATTGTTTAGCTTATTTTTATGCATAGAGCTAAGGTTAGGAGGTTAATAAATAATTAATTTTATTTTATTAAATTAATGGAATTTTAATTATATAGGATGGTATATATTTATTTAATGTCCTATGAAATTAATAATGGCTAAAAATAATTAAATAAGACTTTAGGGATTTTTCTAGAATTTTCTAGATTTTTCCGAGCATTTTCTGCAATTTCCGGCGAACTTCCGGCGAGTTTTCCGGTCGCCGGCAGTGGGGGAGACGACCGGAGTGATCCGGTGCGACGCGGCGCACCATAGGAGGGTGTACGCGCGCATCCTGGCCATTAATGGAGTCTGATTGATCCGGTGCATCGCGGTCCATGATACCGCGGTACACTCGGATCTGTGGGCGTTGGATGGAGGGAAGATAGGGTGAGATGATCCGGTGTGACGCGCATGTAGGAAATGTGATGCAGTCAACCAACCGGAGGACGCCACGTCAGCAGGAAGCCATCAACGCGCGCGTGGCAACGCGTGCGCGCGCATGGGACTCTCCAGACGCGCGTGGGAGCGCGTGGCTGATGCCAGACGCGCGTGGAGGCGCGTGGGAGAGTGGGGAAGGTTGGGCTGCGCGTGGGGAGGCTCTGGGAGGCGCGTGAGGGCGCGTGTGGGGTCCCTACAGCTGCTGGAAATTACCAGAATACCCCTAGGGCCTGTTTTGTAAATTCCAGAACCTTAAACTTGGATTTTTAGGTACTGTGTTGGTAATTACGGGTTTAACGGGCCACGAAATTATTATTTTTAACACCCGTTACTTATTCCTATGACCGATTAATCTTTTCTAAGCATTTATTGGCTCGTTCTCAGTACAGATACTAATGTGGTTTATTTAACGACATTGTTAAATATAAATAGTGTTATTATCGTATTAAATGGTATCAAACATTACTGTTAAATTAAATAAGGCCATGGTTTTAGTCAGATAAATTATCCATGATATCTTACGGGATGTTTATACTGTTAATCGTATATAAATCATGATTATTATGCTGTGTGCATTTCAGGGAATAAATGGACTGTTTATTATGTCGCATTTATATTATATGGATGTGTTGCCATATAGAACCATGTGAGCTGACTAATAAGTTTAGACTCATTTATACCTTATGCATTCGTTGCGATAGACAGATGTGTGGCTGTCGGGGTATGTGGTTTAATATTATTGGCATGTGTTGCCTAACTGACATACTTGGTATATTTATTAATATTATTGGCATGTGTTGCCTAAATTGACATTCTCGGTATCTTTATTAATATTGTTGGCATGTGTTGCCTAATTTATATGCTCAGTATATTCATCAGTACTTTGCGAGGTGTTATCACTGTGTAGTTCGTTATAGTCTGTGTTGTCAGTACCGTGCACCATGTATAATAGCTGATTTCCCGGGTAGGGAAAGGCGACACTTAACCACCTAGTGTGAGTCTAAGTGATCACCGTCTATTCTGGTTGAGGTCATGTTATACATCGGATAGTTCCCATAGGATGTATACAGATATAGTACTCATCCGATTCATAATGATTAATTTATTTGATTCTCTGATTTGGGTCATAGTAGAGAGGACTTGCTCGTGGGGTTGACCCACCATTGTTGTTATTTCAGGATACGGTCAGTATCCGTTTCAAGGCTGAGGTTAGCAGTGTGGGACCATCATCCGAACTCATCTACTCTTACGATCCAGTGCAGGGTAGAAGTTTTATGTAATACTTCAGTTTCAGTTTTTATTTACTTTTGACGTTGAACTCTCAGGGTTATATTTAGGGATCCCTGACGTAGGATTTCCAAGTTGTAATGAAGTACTGTATTAAATAAAGGATGGATGGATGTTGTATTATTTAATGTTTCTTTCCTGTCTAAATTCTTTTATTTCCATCATTTTGTATTCCATGCTTGTATATTGCCAATTGTTTTTGATATCCCTCGTTTTTCGTGTATAAGCCTGATCAACTTATGCATGGAAACTGTGGGGGTGTTACAATATTAGATAACATAAATTTTACAACTAAATTTATAGGATAGGTTAAGTTTCGATTAAAATAAATAAATTAAATGTATTGTTTAGTGAAAATTCTAATAATTATTTCTTGAGAATGAGACCTATTGATGGTTACTTCAATAGTCACCTAATCACCATATTGTTAAATTAAGTTGATAAATACTTTAAACATTTTTCTTCACACCGCGGCTTTGAGAAACCAGTCGGAATAATTTGTCTTGCACTTGTAGATGTTGTCTGTTTTGCATACTCTCCCCTCATTACTCACATTTTTGTTTGAAATACGCCAAATCTTAACAATTTATTCCCTAGGTGATGAAGACACCACAATCACCCATCTTGAGACCCATCGTCCTCTTTCGCCACGTGGCCTTGTGTTTGCCCCTATTTTTAGTTGAGAATTTACTCTGATACCATTAAGCTAATCACAAATTGAAAGGGTTGGAAATATCAGTGGCCCGAAAATAGGCAGGTTCACCCTAGTGTGTCTGATCATTAAGGTTCTTGTTAAAACAATTGATCCAGAAATTGTTGGAGATAACCAGACCTTCCACAAGGATGTCAACTTATTCAACGTGATAACCCAAACAAAATACAAACTTTGACTTTGAGGCGTCTATTAACTTTCCTTGATTATGTTATTTGCCCCACTCAAATTGAGTTTGGTAAGGTTTTGTAGCAAAACACTCCAAAAATACAATAAAGTCTGAATTCCTATAGTTAGCAATACTAAAAGAATTCTCTAAATACTCGTTGAATTAAATTGTTATGACTAGATACAACACAAAAAAAAAGAACAGAAAAACATGAATTCAGAATGTGCTTCACCGTCGTTATTTATAAATTTCCAAAAGTTGCAAACCAGAAGTCATCATCTGATATAGTCTCCATGCAAATAACACTTTAAGATTGTTGAAACTATTGATCCAAAAATTATTGGGGATAACCAGATCCAAGCACATTGATATCAACTTCTTCAACGTGATAACCCAAACAAAATATAGACTTTGAGGCATGTATTTACTTTCCTTAAAGTGTTATTTGCCCCACTCAAATTGAGTTTGCTAATGGGTTTTATAGCAAAACACTCCTAGGATACAACAAAGTCTTCGCCAACCTTAGGTCCAAAGGTCAAACCTAACAAATATAGAGTTTAACAAGTCCGTACAAATAGGAATAAAGCCTGTCAACTCCCAACTTGGGAACCAAGAAAGAAGTTTAGGGTAAAGTGTTAACTCCTATAAATAGGAGTTAAAGAGAGGGAAAAAGAAGATTGTTTGGAGTGTGAGAAAAACTTTTCAGTAATAAAAGCGAGAATCTCTTTCATATTCAAGAATATAAATTAGACTTCCTATTTAAGAAGAAATTTTTTTATCATAAATGTAAAAAAATAATAATAATAAGTTACTAATTAAAATTAATAAAGTCATAATTAAAACCTAATTAAAGAATAAGTTTATTTTTATTAAAATATTTGTAAGAGAGTGACCTTTTCAGAAGCTTGATCATTCAAATTAGAATAATGAAAACATATGATTTTCTAGGCAAGTAATTTATGAGAGTTAATCAATTTGCTTAGACTTTACTAGTAATAGAATATGCTATTTTTAGTCTCAATTACTAAATAGCCCTTTCATTGATTTGACTCAATTATAAAATACACCCACCATCCTAACACTTTTCTTTCTCTCTCTCTCAATTCGCTCGTGGGGGTGTTTATGCACGTTTTAAACAATGATGTACACAATTGTCTCCAATGGTCTAATTTGGTCACATGTTGTAATACGCGGCAAAATACTTTAGTCTTAAGTTAGTGCACGTGCTGGATTTGGAGCGCAATCATTGGACAATGGTACTACCAGTCACTCAAGTCCACTGTCAAGTGAGATCATCCGGACCCATAAGCACCAGATTTTCCCAGAAACCAAACATCATTACTGCTGATGAGAAAATTGTTATAAGTAATTCTAATTTTATTTATTTTTTTCCTGAAGAATTAAGTCAAATGACAAAAAAATTAAACGTGTGTTACTTAGCATAAAAAATTACTTTTTTTTAGACAAGGATGAAAGAAAAGACCATTGAAGAGGTCTTCATTGACTTCAATTTTTGATTTTTTTTTTTCTTTTTAATTCTATATTTGTCTGAACGTTTGTACCAATCACTGCTCCTAATCGCCACAAAACCAAAATAAAAAAATTAAAAATTATTTAAAATAAAAAAATCTAAGTTTGATAAATTATTGATTTATTTATTTATTTTTTTAACAAATTAGGGGTGAGGATTCAAATACCAACAGATCTAAGCAAGCAAATTAAATGATAGGTAGATTGGTAAAGAGAGAGTAATAAATAACCATTCTAACAAAATTTAAAATTCCATTTTCGGGAAAGAAATTAAAAGAAGAAAAACACTACAAGGTACAAACAGTTGTTAAAAATTATATATGTATATATATATATATATATACATATTTGGGTAAGTGATTTCTAAACTGGTTTGGAAAAATTATAGCCAGTAGACATAAATTTTTTTTTTTATTTTTAAAAAAAGCCAAAAAAAAAAAAAAAGCCACCTCGTCCTACAACTAGACACTGTGAACATTCTCAGTAGTAGCAGAATCAGATGAACCACCATTGCAATCCATAGTCACCATCCATTTCTGAACTTCATCAACTCCAATCACCTCCTCCCACATTCCCTTCCCCTCTCCGCTTCCCGATTCCATTCCACTCCTTTCCGAATTCCCTTCCTCTGACCCACTTTCTCGCAATGTGTAATCAGGGAAAGGAAAATTGAGCTTGGCTCTGGGCCCCCGGAAATCAATGGCGGCCTTGTCGTAAGCCCGCGCAGCCTCCTCCGCCGTATCGAACGTCCCAAGCCAGACCCGAGCTGCCCGCCGCGGATCCCGAATCTCGGCCGCCCACTTCCCCCACGGCCTCTGTCTCACTCCTCTGTAATTCTTCTTCTTCCTCTTCGTCACCGTCAAACCAGTCTTCTTTTTCTCTTCTTGAACTGGCGCGAAAAAGTTGCAGCCCAGACAGCCGTTGATTTTGCAGACCTGACACGTGTCCGGATCAGATAGCCGCAGGAATGTTTCGCAGTAATTGCCATCGGACATGTCATGACTCGAGTCTGCGGCGGAGGAGTCGCCGTTTATGACGTTCTTGAGGGCGGCGACCATGACGGAGAGTTCCTGGTCGTGGGTCATAGGCGACGGCGGCTGAGGTGGCGGAGCGCCGTCGTGTTTGGGTCGGTTGTATGGAGTTTGCATGTTGGGATTACTGTGGAGGTTTTGAGAAGAGGAGTTTGTTGTCTCTGTCTCAGGTGTTTGTGGTCTTAGAGAGAGAAAGTAGTGCGGATGGGTGGATTTATATACCGGAGTGGCTCGTCGACGTATGTGCGGATGCCAATTGGACACACACATCACACACGGGTTTGATAAGCTGTTTTATTGGCACGCGGGTATTTTGGATTCTGACGTGTCTTCTATCTGGGACCCACTACTTTTGCTGGTAAACCATCACTTTTTAGTAACCAAAAAATTGTTCCTAAATTAGTCATACTTGGTTATTATAATGCTGAATCATGGATGTCTAAATTAGTCATATTTGGATTTTTTTTTTTTTTGGTTGTTGTTAATTTTGAAATTATTTTATATCAGCGGTAATGATTTCTAAAAAATTCATCCATACCATACTTTATGACCATTAAATATAATTGCTATGTATTTTTTGATAACTAAATTTTTTATGTCCTCTGTTCGGGGATGATCTCTTGGTTACACACATATTGATAATAAGAGGAGATGGAGGCTTAAATGGGTAGCTTTTGTCATAAAAAAATATATGTTTTTCTTATTTATTCAATTACGTATAAATGGTACTAATGGTTCATATTTATTATTTGATGGAGTCAAAATCTCGTAATTTTGGGAAAATAAAGTTGACCAAAATGCTAACATGGTTAGTTTAAAATACTATTCAATTTTACAGAGGTGCCACTTTTAGGTACATAGATATCGCTTTTTTATATATGTAGGTGCCATTTTTTTTGCATTAGGTTATAAGTACCACTTTTGTTTTGAGCATAATGAAACCACTTTTATTCACATAGATACTACTTTTTCTGCACATATGCACCAATTTTTTGTGCAGCACAAAAAGTGATACCTGCATGCACAAAATGTGGTACCATGTGTCTAAATGTGGTACCTTTGTGAGGTTAAGTGTTTTTTTATGTTTTTAATTTTTTTGAAATTATGAGATTTTGATTCCATCAAATAATAAATATGGTCATTAGCACCATTTATATATAATAATTTCTTAATATTACGTAAATATAGGAAAAAATAGTAATTAATTATTTTTAAAGAGTTAGTGTGAAAAGATAGTCAATCCGGCATAGACGTTGGTGCTGACTTGGCACCTTACCTAAGCGTAGCGAGTGGAAAGGTTATGATGACCTGGCAATTCATGTACCTGGCAATTCATGTACACTCGAATTTGGACGGTAATGAGAACATGGCTTTTCATCTCTCAGAAAGGCAATAAGTGGCTTCCAAATGGCTTTTTATGGTGATAGGAGCCAAACGATCAAGAGCCAAACGTTTTGGTATGGGGGCCGCAAATTTTCTTTTTATCTTTTTATTTTTTAATTTTTAAAATCGATAAATACCACACTCCAAAAAAAATATATAATCTATATAATTTCTTTTTATTTTATTTACTTGTTTATGAAAAAAAAAAAATCAACTGAAAAAATAAGTTTTACAAATTTGTAAGGAAAAAAATTGATAAAAAATAATAAAATAATAAATTCGGGCCAACCCAAGCAGCACCCTACCATACCAGTTAGGGTTACAACTCGAACAGGTTGGAGGTACAACTCGAACCCAACATGTCATATGAAATGTTATCCCTAACTCAATTTTCAAACCCAATCTCAATTTTCAATCTTAACTATTCAACCGAACCAATTCATTTTTTTATTTTTAAACTCAAGTTGATATTTCGGATTACTTACATAACAAATTTCTAAAATGAGAATTTAATGTAATCATGAGTTGGTTTCAAATTAAATTACTCTTAAGAAAAAAATAAAATAAAATAAAACTTATTGCAAGTTTTTAATAAATTACAAAAAAAAAATTAATAAAAAAAATTTAATTCTCAAAATGTTAACATGTAAAATGCGATGAATATATATACTCCGTATATAATAGAAGAAGGTGAATGGAAGGAACGATGGTGATGCAAGTTGGGACAAATAAACGGACGTTCCCTATCATCCGCTGACTATTTCTATCTGTTCTATGTTTGACTTTTGCTTTTTTAATATAGGAAATCCTTTTAACCATTTTGGGTCGTACTCGTTATTGTCCTTTGACACATTTATTCTTGTCCATACGCGGTACCGGGACAGCATCAACATGCTGTTTAGAAGTCTCTATTGTCTGATGTCCGCTAATTGTCCACAAATGTATGTGCTTTGTACCATCTGACACAGGGAGGCTCATGAGACAAATTGAAAGACAATAAAATGGGTACACGTGTAAGTTTACGATTCCTGTAAAAGGTCTTACGTATTTATGTGCAAATAAGAATTACGTTTCCGTGACACCGTGTCATTTCTCGGTCGCATAACCCGAATATATTCCGACCCATTCTTAATTTTAAAAAGAAAAGTCACTTTACATCGAACTGAATTTTACAATTACAAAGAATCAGGTCTAAGAAATTCGATGCATCATTATTCATTCTTAATATTCGGACTAATTTTGAATTACTCAAATTAGACTAGGAATTAGTCTTAAATAGTTAATAGTTAATACTAAAATTAATAATATAGATTGAGTTTGAATTCTGATTTAAATTGACCAATAATTGTCCAAGTCCCGCCCCTATGGATCCAAATTCGATTCTCCTCTCTTACTACCTATCACTATTAACTAACCATTGTCATTGTCAGGATAAAATAAATTAAAAAAAAAATAAAAAATAAGAAAAAAGAAAAGAAAAAGAAATGATGAATATTGAGGGGTTTGTGTTATCATCGGGTCCTGTAATTAATATAAGGAGCATTTATAAAAGAAAAAGGTCAATTAAAAGAACGATGCCGATGGAACAAAGAATCAGACGGTCCCTATCATCCGTTGACCTTTCTAGTTGTTCTTCGTTTGGTATTTTTTTTTTTTTTTTTTTTTAAATTAATTCCCGCAATCATTTTTGACCATTTTACCTTGTACGGATCTATTGTCCATTGATACATTTAGGTTCGTAAAATATTTTTTTGCATTTTTTAGTATTTAGTTGTCGTAAAATATTTGGAAAAAAAAAAAAATAACAAAATAATTTATTCATTAATGTTTGGCAAGTTATGTTACACGTCTCATTCAATGAATCGACCTCGATCTCAATTTAAACCTTTGCCAAATACCGAAAAATAAAATATATATATATATATATATATATATATATATATATATATATATTACTTTTTTAAAAAAATAGCCATTGTCAAAATAAAATAAATTAAAAAAAAAGAGAGAATAAAGTAAAAGAAAAAGAAAGAAAGATGGAAAGGATGAATATTGAGGGGTTTGTCATTTGTGTTATCAACTTATCTTTAGTTGTGTCATGTAATTTATATAAAGGGTTAATTTCATTATCACTTAGTTCCACAGTTTTCATTAAAAATATGTAAAAGACAATTTTATCCCTAAATACCCTTTGACTTGATTAAGAGGACTCTCTAACATAAAATAAAAATAATAATAATAAAAAAAATAAATTAAGTAAAAAGACTACAATACCCCTAAATACACTACAAATTTACGATTATATATATATATATATATATACACACACTGAGCAGGAATGGACATTTTGGTTGGTGAGAGATCACTCAAACTTCAGACGCAAGGTGGGCTAAAGGTGAGCAGTGTTTGGCTGTTGTGCAGTCTTACAATTCCTAATACCATGGTTTGCGCCTCAGATCTGTATATACACACATTACACACAGAGACATATATAAATACATATATATATGTAGATATACACACAGATATCCGCCACCGCCACCGCCACCGCCATCGCCACCGCCATCGCCATCGCCGTCGCGGCCGCCGTCCATACAATCCCAACCCATCGCCAATCGTCGCCGCCACCACTCACACAATCCCAACACCCATCCCAATCTCTCCTCCTCCTTCACCACATAGAGTGATTGTTGTTGTTGGCAAAAACAAATACTACAATCAGACCAAATTCCATCAAAATCCAAGCATAATGCAGAGCAGAATTTTTTATTTTTTTTAGTTTGTATAGCTGAAAACCGACAAATCAAGATTGTTGTTCATTTGGTTTCCAGAAATTAATAATCTAAATTTCTTGAAAACTGAGAGAAACAAAGAGATTTAAAAAAAACTGATTATGGATCAAAAGAGTTGATATTCTTGTTTTTTTCTTCTCTTTGTTTAAACTGATTACATATCAAATCAGGATTGTTCTTCATTTGGGTTTATAGAAACATATATACGTGTCTATATATATCTGGTATATCTATGTAATTTATAAATTTATAAAATTTTAGGATATTTTAATCTTTTAATCCAATTATTTAGGCAAAGTCAAAGAATATATAAGTTATTTTATATCGTGTCAAAATTGTTTAGCTAATTATTGGGGTGTGAGTGAAAAAAGAAACAAAAATTTGTAATGTAAGAAGTGATGGTTATTCTTGAAAAATATTTGAGGGTGAGGGGTGTCAGTGTAATTCTAACATATTTTTATAAAAGAAATAGGTCAATGAAAAGAATGACGCTGATGGAACCAAGAATCAAACGGTCCCTATCATCCGTTGACCTTTCTAATTATTCTCTTTTGACTTTTTTTAATTATTTTTTTATTCCAAAAATCATTTTTGACCATTTTGCATTGTACACCTTTATTGTCCATGGACACATTTAGGCTCGTAAAATATTTTTATTTATTTATTTATTTCATTTGTTGGTGTTCAGTTATAGTAAAATATTTATAAATAATAAAATATTAAAATTTAACAAAAATAACTTATTCATCAATTTTCAATAAGCAATGTCACACATCCCATCTAATAAATTTGACCTCAATTTTGACCTAATCCTTTGTCAAATACCAAAAAATAAAAGTAAAAGAAACTATTTTACCTTTGGACTTCGTTTGTTTGGACGTAAAATATTTTTCAAAAAATATTTTTTCATTTTCTAGTGTTTGATTGTCGTAAAATATTTACGAAGAAAAAAAATATTAAAATTTAACAAAAATAACTTATTCATTAATTTTTGACAAGTTATTTTACATGCCTCGATAAACTCAACTTCAACCTCGAAGTAAACCTTTCAAACACCAACAAAATAAAAATAAAATAATATTTTACTTGAAATATTTTTCAAAAAAAAAAATTTACATCAAAACAAACAGAGAAAAAATTATTTTATAAAGAAAATATTTTACTTTGTTTGACCAATGTAAAGCCGCGCTGTTTCAGGACATCAACATGCCCGGAAATATGCTTTGGAGGCCCTACTAACTATTAATCAGAATATGGGACCTAATATTTAGCTCTTCTTTTTCTTTGGGCTGGTTTTGTAAGTTGACCTCTTCGTCCTTACGTTTCATGTTTCAACCACTTTTTGTGTGTCCACACCAAGTTGGTTCATCTTCAACTATCAAATTAAGAAAAAAACATGAAATTAAAGGGTTCTGATTTCAAACTCCTGATACAAAAAATGGGGCATTAGAAAGGCTAATCCTGCAAGGTATTGTGGACTTAAATGCTTCCATACAATGTATGCACACCGATCATTCTGAAAAAGTGCCTAAACAGCCAATGATTCAGCACATCAATAATTATAATTACTGCAGTCTAGAGTACTGCCTCACTTTTCAAAGTCGAGAAGATCAAGAGTTTAAGTTCTCGAGATAAATGTGTGTGTGAGTACGTTTTTTGCCAAGGTGTAAAATCATTATAATTATTTGTCACTCTCCTTTACAGTTAGATAAGAGTGACATCACCAAGAACCGTAGTGTTGTATTTCATGTACATTAGAGTGGAAGTCGAGATTTCAAATCCTCACACAAAAAACAGTGTCATTTGAGAAGCCAAACCACACACAAATGAAGAAGAAGAAGACACAGTGGGGGATCACAGAGGGCATAACAAAAATAAATAAATCTTATCCCAACTATTTTGAATAGATAAGGCAGGAAAAAAAAAATGAGTAACTATAGTTTGCTCCATTCATTTTCCTACAAGGATCATCTGTTTACCCAAAATGAAGTATCATCTGTTACCCCCAAAAGAACAATGGATCGTCGAGAAATCAATTATACAACAAGAACCTATTTCTTTTATACACTAAAGTAATCACGAAGGGGAATACTATACGGTCCTACCTCCTTTTTCTATCCGAGAGAGAAATCTTACCAGGATTAACACCGCCAATGAGAACAAAACTTTGAGCTCACAAGCCTACAAAATAAGGCCAAAAAGATCTTCCCGGGGCTTACATATTACAAGAAGAAAATTATTTGAGCTGAATCTTCGATCTAGTCATCATCATCCTCCGAATCTGCATTTTGGTTGTAAGAAGTTGGTAAATGCTTACCAATATCAGATAAAGATGCTGAAAACCAATAGAACAAAGAGAATGCAGCAACAATTCTGTTATGCTATTCATAGTATTGTTATGAGAAGGGCCTTGGCGCATCCATTGTGACTGGTTAAAAACGGAAAACAGCCTCTCCACATGCGGAGGTAAGGTTGTGCGCATCTGACCATCCCCAGACCCCGCAATGTTGGGAGCCTCGTGCATTGGCCTCATAGCCTTACATTTTTATAACTCTTTTTCTTATTATAAAAATAAAAAAGGTTAAAATACAGCATTTCAACATGTGTGTGTGAGAGAGAGAGCAGTTGACGCAGCATAAAATCAGTAAAGTTGATATTTTGTTTAGAACTGGAAAATGAATCTTAAATTCAGTTATGAATTTATAAAATGCTTACCAGATCGTATATCTTCTCCAACTTGTCCTCTATTTTGCAGCTGTCTCTTGATCATTGAGCATATGAGAATCCACCAATATATGTGGAAAACAAGCAGGGTCAATAGCATCGTATTGAAAACATAGTATATTATCATGGGATACACTTCTGACAGCCTCAAGAAGTCACGCATATAGTAGCTGAGAAATGCCAACCATACAAAGGAATATGTGAAAGCAAGCACGATTTGTTAAAGGTTACTGAAACGAGACATCTGCTTGGAGGACAAACCTTGTGGATCTTATTATCCAAAACGGAAAAATTATTAGCCTTAGTATAAGCCATGAAATAGCAAACAGTCCAAAGCACACACTTGCTCCAAGCTCCTTCTCAGAATATTTGAAAACTTTAGCAGCTTCCATAAAAACATCACTTCCATCATGCAGTGCAAGGATAACCGAACCAATACGGAAGAATCTGTAATATGGATAATTAATTAATTTCTCCCCAAGAAAATATCACTAATTGTATTTTGACATCTATTGAACTTAAGCCCGAACAAGAAAATACTACTATGCCATGAGACCATTGAGTAATCATCCCAAATTTTGGCAGACCAAGCATATATGGACATAAAAAAACAACACAAATGGTCTTCAATCAAAAACTCTTACCAATTACCATATCCAACAGAGAAACTATTATTGTGGAGAACAATCTAAAATTTTCAGACTTCGAGTAAATCACTACAGTCATAAATTTAACCATTATAAAATCTAAGACAAACAAGAGTGATTAGCGCAACGATATAGAAAGGAGATACCTTTGAATTCTCCCAAGGATCAAAATATATACGTGTTATTCACAAAATGGAACCAAATACTGGATCCATGGTTTAGAAGTTTGAGGCTAAACACTCAATACCCTTAAAATGCTTCGTTTCATTAAGAAACCAGGATTAAATGCTAAAAAGAAACTGGATGATGCAGGATATATACCCTAAAGGTCTTCAACACTGAAATTTCCAAAATAGGTACTTCTATACATATACATTTTTAAGTCAGCGGTATCTTTACTTCCGTGCTTTAGGTTGTTTCATATATTCAACTCTTTCAGAATAAACTCATAAAATAAGGATTTAACAAAAAACAACTAAACTGGAAATGAGGAACCAGTTCTTCCATATCGAGCCTTGCATTGAGTTCAATTTTTCAACTTTTCTGTGGAGAAAATAAATTAGAAATTATTCAGGAAAAAAATAAATAAATTAGAAATCTGTCTTATTCTAGATTTGAGGCACTTCTTGGATTCACTTTGAAGTTGAAGGTTTCTTTCTTTACATCTAAAATTAAAAACTTAATCTTCAAAAGATTGCTTTTAATTTAATTAGAGTAAATTTACAACGAGATTTGCATGAATAATTATTATTGATTGATCATATCATTAAAACTTTAATCCCATAACATAAAAAAAAAACTTTACAATTACAAAATCTGTTACATCGACATTCAAAACAATGTAATGGTCTAAAAATTGTAAATGACCAACTAATGACTGATAAAAATGTTTACTGTTTAGATCATACTATCTTTAGAATATTAAACCACCTCTTTCTTCACATTTGTGATACATACAAGGACCCCTCATATTATACATGGCAATCTGAATCTTAATAATGTGACTGGTTACTTTTACCATTTTACGTAATTAGTGCTTTGACAATTTTATATAATTAATTAGTACCAAGAGATGTATTGATTTACATTTCTATTCAAATGACGTTATTAAAATTTTCAATTGCATCTTATAGTATTGATCATCAATAAGTGATTTTTATTAGATTTCTAAAAGCATTTATTGAGGTTATCACAAGCTTCTTAGCATTTATAAGCAAACTTGTTTGCCTCTACAATATTGTAACGCCAGGTGAGAGGATGCATACATAAGCAATATACTATATTCACCAATATTTGAACTTAGGGCCACACTTAAGAGGCCCTCTTGAAGTTTCAAGAATTTCCTGAAAATGTTTCTATAAAACATTGAATACCTATCCCCTGTTTGAAGCACTATGACATGTTTCTACTGTTTTCTACTAACTTGTTCGGATCAAAATTCACATCCAAATAAAATTAAATTAACAGTTCAGAGAGTTGGCAATTACATAAGGAAGTAATTATAGAAACTGCAACTCCATTGGAAAATTGTCAAGTCTAGTGCTTATGTGCCCTTAAAAATTTGAAGTCCAAAAAAGTCACTGAAGTCATAGGTGTGCCAAATCATATTAAATATTTGAATTTTATAGCTTAAGCATTGCAAGCAAGTAGTGGGAGGAAGTCAGAAACAGGTTCAGGTCTGAGAAAGGGAGAAACTTAGTCCTAAGGGATTCTGAAGTTCTGGTCTGTCAGAAGCATGCAAACAGATATGTGTGTGAACATCTAGAATCATCATTATCGACCACACAGAAATAACCAATTTTTATACTAACAAACTGAGCGTCACAGCAGTTGGTTGTTGTGGGGAGGGATTAGAACCCCCTACACTGGTTCCTAGCCACATGCTCAAATCCTCTGAGCTACAAAGCCAGCCCGGTCTCCACTGGATCTGTTCCTGGGAGTAACCAATCCTCTTACCCAGCCATTTCGGGTTAAAAAAATGTGGAAGCGCTTTTCTTTTTAACTAATTTGCATTTCGGAAGAGTCAGTTTAAGTTTGCCTTGATAAGAATTTTGCAAATTTTACAAGTAACAAAGATACAAGTGCAGATTTGCGGTTTTCGAGTGGATTCAATATTTTGAGCGCCAGGGGTTTGTGCTTTTCCAAATTCAGGATTCATGCTACACCAACAATTAAAGAGGAGGGGAGGAGTTTAAGCTCCGGCGTGGACAAAGAGTGTGTGTGAGTACTTACCTGACCGGGGGGTAAAAAATGAATTAAAGAGTGACTGACAGATCTGGGCAGCAGTAGAAAAATACTAGCAAACTAAACCAACAATGGGGATGCAGCAAAAGCCATTACACGAGCTTCGCATAAATATGAAACAGCACGGAAAGAGTTTTAGGAGTCTCTGACATTATCTATTGTAGCACTGACTGGCTCAAATTTCACAGAAACAAATACAGAAGTGTGAAGTAAATAACTAAAGAAATAAAACTACAAAGGTACCTTGAAATGTATGAATAGCCAATCAGGAAAACAGTGATTACATGATGAGACATCATTACAGAGAAATCCTTCCTTCGAGTTTCCCACATGAGGAGGGCAACAATGCTGTATGCATAGAATCCACATTGACAAATGTAGTATAGCCTTACGGGAGGCCTGAAATGAAAATTTTGAAATGAAGACTGTGAGTTAAGAACTCTGTATGAATTGAAGAATCCTAGAGCTAAACATTTAAACGAAAAGTTGTTGCAGGCATATCGTAAGGAGAGCTAAGCTAAAACATGTTTCGAGTTCAACAATCTCAAAGTTATCCATTTTGGGAAACTCAAAATAATATCCCAACAAAGGACCATACCATGTCTCCATTTAAGACAGTGACAGAGAGAGTATCAGAAGGAAGCAATATTTTATCAGAAAAAGAGTTCTAAATTTGTGGAGAGGGTGCAAAAAAACCTTCATAGACAGCCATATCTAGAATTTAGGGTAAATTGCATAAAACCTCCCTAAAGTATCACCCGTATGCAAATAACCCCCTGAACTAATGGAAATACACACTTAAACAACACGGCGTCAAACAACCGTTAACGGAAATTTGAAGTTATGGTTTTTGCCCATTATGTAAATGATACCGTTTTAAAGCTTATGAAAACGCAATCTTATTAGTGCAATCTTTTCGTGTTATCAAAAGTAGTACCTTTTGGTTTTGCTCTGACAAACAACAACAACAACAACAGGCTTTCTATCACACCTTTTAACAAACATTTAGAATCCCAATTATCTTTTAAGAACCAGAAAAACCTCAAAATACTTCACTCCATTTTTCCTCCTCTCATACAGTAAAACATAATAAGAGCATCTTATGCAGTGTCATAGTAGAAATCTGGAAAGAGAGACGATAAGAAGGATTAGTTCTATCAGAAACTTAATGCAATGGTTTATCAAATGCTGATGTCGCTTGTACAGTAAAGCTTAGCATACGAAGGATTAGCAAGTGTCAAACTAACAGTACATTAAGTGAACATTCAAGAAATGAGATTTCTCTTTCAAACAGGTGGTCAAAAAGTCCAACCATATCTATTACTCACGTCAAATCTTGATTTGGCCAGCCTCTAAAATGCTCTTTGATATCTCTGAACCATGGCTCGTGGTAGATAAATGTCAAAATGCATGCTTCAACAATGGCATAATACGTTAGCTTCCACATAGACTCCACACATTTTACAAGCTTTGCCTGTGTATCCTTATTAATCTTCAATGGAAGGGCTCCACCACTCAACAAGAAAACGGCCAACCTCTGTAAAAAAGGTAACCAATAATATGGTAAGATATATGGTAAAAAATGAGAAAATTCAAGAGTTTAAGTTATGAGAAGGAAAATATTATATGGACTTTGCTTTCTTGATTAGATGTAATCATATAAATAACACAAAACATTGTTCTTTGCTACAGTGAGTCTTAGTAGAGGCGTACAGTTACATCAATATAAAGGGAGGAAAAGGTTCAAAATGATTACATTAAGGGCTGCCTAAGTATGTTACTAAAATCCAGCCTTTTGAAATCCAAAATATAAAAATGAACAAAATTTGAAAAATGTGGCAGATTTAAGTATTAATTTTAAATGGCCAGTTTTTGGAAGATCCTTAAAGTTTAGTTCTCAGAATCCTCTGCCAAATGTGTTTTATTGTCATCTTAAATTTCCAGTTTCTGAAAACCATTAAATGGTGTGCATGCAGACTTAAAAAGGAAATTGAACAGGCCCAAACTCAATCTAATTATGGTTTTGTGCTCTGTCACTGTGAGTTTCACTGGAAAAATTCATAGCCAAGAAAGGTAGAACTCAAATAAATACCGCAACTAAATCATCTGTTACATAATTTTCAATAAACATGCACAAATGAATAAAGATGTCCCTATACAAGGAAGAATATTTTCTTAATGCATTCCGATGTATGTACGAGATGCCCTTAGATGTAGAACCCAAGTTTCAGTTGCTATTTACAGTCCTATAGACCTCATAAGTTCTTTTAGCAACACAATGTGATTCTATGATAAGCCTATGCAAATTCAGCATTACAGAATTGAGTGTCTTTATATGTTAAGAAGTGTAAATACTCTAATATAAGTAAATTTTTGTGGAACTGCAAGATGTGGATTTCCGCGAGTAACTCTCAACTGTTCAAGCTTCTACGACAGATTCTTGTTTACATTCTAGAGTCTGATCTTCTTTCTTGCAAACTTGACTTAGTGTTGTTCAAGTGACAGAGCTTCTTACAACATTTTGTGTATTTATGATTATACAGGAATATAAATAGAGTTATAGAGTCAGCTTAGCATTTAAAGCATAAATAAATGAGCACAAATATGAAAACTTCTAGTTACTATAAAAGTCCAATTCAAGATTTATACAACTCCAATTCAAGATTTAAGAACTGACCAGAGTAAACATATAGTTACAATTTTAGCTTAGCATTTAAAGCATATATATATGAGCACAAATATAAAAAAATTCTAGTTATTATAGAACTCCAATTCAAGATTTATACAACTTTAATTCCATCTTTAAGAACTGAAAAGACTAAACATATATAAATGAACACAAACATCAAAACTTCCAAGGCCCTCAGTTATTATACAACTCCAATTCCAATTCAAGATTCAAGAAACAACAAGAGTAAACAAAACCTATACATGATGTTGCAGTATTGAATCAAACTGAAGAGATATAGCGAGATCTTACACGAAAGATGAATCTATCAAGCAAGAACCTCGCAGCAACAAAAAAGAATGCGAAGTATATGGCGACGATGAAATGCGAAGCGCTTGGAACGCTATCGTGACTCCAGATCGAGTCCATGAGAGAATTGGAAACTCAGAAATTCAGAGAAATGCCATCAACGGACCGATCCAGGGCTAAGTTGGAACTTCCTTTCCAGAATTAGCAAAAACCACGAGAGTATACGAATCGAATGATATATATTTGCCCTAATTTTCAGTGAATTGTAGAGAGAGAAGACTTGGAGCAGAGCTGGTTGACAAATAGAGTCTAGAGAGAGAGAGATAGATAAGAGAGGGAAACGGAAATAAGGGGGATGGGCGTGTTTTTGAGTGTATTGTGGAGGCTTGCAAGAATATGACTTAACCCCACAAATTATGGGACCATGTCTGGCTACGAACAAGTAATATTCCAATTCTCAATGGCACACAATAACCGATTTCAGAAAGGATTTTTCGTTTTATTATTTATTAATTTATTATTTATTATTATTTATTTTTTTGTTATAAGTGATGGTGATCTGAGGTCTTTTGTTTTATTATTTATTAATTTATTATTATTTATTTTTTGTTATCAATGATGGTGATGTGAGGTCTTTTGTTTTCTTATTTATTAATTTATTAATTTTTATTATTTATTTTTTGTTATCGACGACGACGACGACGACGACGATAATGATGATGTGAGGTCTTTTAGAATAATTTATAATTTATCACTAAACACATCTAATCCTATCATGCCATAAATATCGGACAATTACTAAAAAAAAAAAAATCTAAAATGACCTTAAGGAGATTTGAACATCCACCCCTAGTTATGAGGTGATTTTTATGTATAAGTTAAAAACCACACATTCCTGATAGAAATAAAATAGAGAATGTGCGAGTACCAAGATTACACCATCTAAGTTAATATCAATCAATAAAAGGAATAATTAATTTTAAAAAAGGTTTTGTTTGCACCAAATAAATGCATTGGATGAGTTTTGAGAATTATTTATTTAATTTTTTATTATTATTAATTTTTTATAGAGTCTTTCATTGGAGGAGAGTAGAATTCTCTTTGGTGCACTGCAAATGGTAATGCCAGTGCAGAATTTTTTATAATTTATTATAGATTACTGTTAAGGGTTCAAGTTTTATTAAAGGTAAAAAGATGTGAGAGAAATTTTTTATTATTTCTTGTTAAAAGAAAAGAAATCTAGGTGAAAGAATCATCAAATGCATTTATTTTCCAAAGTTGTCCCATTTGAGATACTAAAAAGAAAAGAAAATCATTATTTTCCTTATTTTGTTTTCTCCTAACTAATTTTATTATTGATTTCTTTTTCCTCAAACTTATTCCCTCCTACTCGTGAACATCTCAACAGTTTTAAAAGCTACGGACGGGCAGGACACTGATTCAAAGGTGAGAATTTTAGTCGGAGAAAAGAGGACCCGCCCTTACCATCATTTGAAGACGCTAATCTCTCTGATTTTTCAATTTTTTGTTCAAGTTATTATTTATATATATAGTTGGTAGATTTTGGTAATTAAATTGAAAGTAAAAAATATTTTTTGTAAATCTGATGCATAAAGTGGAGAGAGGGCACTTCACCGACCAAGGGTGAGCTTCCTTTTTGTCTCTTTCAAATCCGCCAAAATTATCCTAAATCTGTCGCGAATTGAGGGAGACAACTTGTACTCAACGGTAACTCAGCTGTGCAAGAGGGTTGGTTTGGCTTGATTTGTGTTGAAGCATGCACTCATGTGCAATGTGTGTACTATTTCGTATACATTGTTGAATTGTGACCATTCAGTCACGCGGTATTAACTGTGATTACAAATTTAGACATATATTGATATAAATTAGTTGAATCGTTTGATTTATAAAAGTGTATAACGATATCGGAATATTTGAAAAATGATTACCAACAAATTGATACGTCGTGCATTTTGATACGGTGAACCATGATTGTGACTAGAATATGTTGTCGACTTAGGTTGGCGTTCTGACTCAAATACCGCATTTGAGAAGGAAAAAAATGTATTTGTTTGTAGATTTTGGGATCAAATTCTAATTTCTATGTGTACAATGATTATAGGTTTGAGGGGGAAAATAATTAAAATTGAAATGAAGTGAGAAGAAAGATATTATAGACTTAAATGACTTGTAATTTCCGTGTCTTAAGTAATGAATTTTTTACATATATAAGTTGAACTATATTAAGGTGCTTTTTGATAAAACTGAAAATTAAGCATTGAAAATTTTAAGTGCTGAAACTTTAAGTGCTGAATGTATTAATTTGAAAACCTGTTTGATTACATTTTAATTTTAAGTACTGAATTCATTAAAATTGTTTATTATATACAAAAGCTGAAGTCTGAAAGTTGTACATATTACATGTTTAACCTCAATATCTGATACTCATAACAGTTTTATATTTATAATACAAAAATATTAATAAAACAACCACATCCACTCAATGAAATAAATAAATATGAAAATTTAAATATATGGATTTTGTATTACATAATATTTATGTATGGTATCGAGAAGGGTATTACAAATATTAAAGAAAGTAAAATTTAAAATATATGAGTTTTAGATTGAATAATATTTAGGTAGGATATTGAAAAGGGTGTTACAAAAATTAAAGAAAATACTTGAAAAAGAATTCTTATTTAGGAATAAAATTCTATTATATAAATAATTGATGGAAAATTTAAATCTATGAGTTTTGGATTACATAATATTTATGTAGGTATGGTGTTACAGAAAGTAAAGAAAGTAAAATTTAAAATATATGTGCTTTGAATTACTTAATATTTATATAGGGTTTAAAAATGATATGAGTATAAAAATAATGTTAAAAATATTAAAGAAAGTGCGTGAAATTGAATAGAATTCTGTTATATAAATAATTTTTTTCTATAGTGAATCAATATAAATAGTAACCAAAAGGCTATATACGTGTTTAAAATATATTAGGTAGAATTATGTTTTTATTTTTTTTGAAATTTGTTACATGTAATTCATTTTCATTAGAGAAATCGCAGAGAGAAACCCTAAAAGAGAGAACACAATTATATGAGGGTAGAGTAGTCATTAAAAAGTTATTTTTTAAACCCAACTACTTACCGTCTTCTATGATAATCGATAAGTAACCTTCCCCATGCTTAAATTTTTGGCCTTTTTTAAACTGTACTTACCATGTTAAGCGGTATTCTAACATTTTATCAAACAAACTTGTTTTTAAAAATCATTTACCGTGTTCTGCATTCAACGTTGAATTTTATCAAACAATCTTTGCATTTTATTTGGTGTGTGATTTTTCTTTTATATTTATTGTGTTTATGCTTTGCCTTGTGTAAGAATTTTAATTTTCTCTCCTTTTATCTTTCTTTTTCTTCATTGATAGGACAAAAATAGAACTGGACAGTTTTTTACAGTTTAGTAACTTTTGAAATATTCCTATTTTCTGTACTTCAAGAATGGAACCTGTAACGACCCGAACCCGTGGGTTCGGACCGTTACCTGGGTCCTTATCCTGACCCGAGGTCACCTAGGTCACACCGTCAATTTTTTGGGTCCTTAACCATCACACAAGGCAATCCAAGGTTCAAAATAATTAAATGTCATGCCGTGAATGCAATGTTATGCATGTCACTCCCCATTTTCAGGAAAATCCATCACTTCGCAAACTGTTAATATAACCCGCCCTTTGGTGACTCCGCAGTAACACGAGAGAAGGATTAGCTACTGTCCCTGACCTTTGGTACCCCGCAGTGTCATTTTGGGCATAGATAGCTCAACCATGTTAGGGCAATTTCCCTAATTCCCTCTAGGCTATATTAACACACCGGCCCTTTGGTGACTCCGCGGCAACCGGGTTTTCTCAAAACCGTTTAATCAAAATTTCTCCCTAAAATCCCCTTTCACTTTTATTTCAAAACACTTTCCCTTTTCTTTCATGCCCAATGTCAAGAAATGCATGTCATGTACTTCTCCAATAATATTAGCATAAAAGAAATTTACACTACACAATTTAACATGCTCCTTCCTAGCATCTTCTTGAAAATTAATAAACACTGTAGGCATGTAAATTAACATCTAAGCATGTTTTCACATAATTTCATCAACACATACAAGTATAAATTCCAAATACAACAAATATATCATTCTCAAGACAATTAACTTAAAATTAAGCATGCTTTGCAACAATTAAAGAGAGATGACTCATAGAAGAACAAGAAAAGTGTGAATTAAGAACTCCTACCTCAAGATTGTGCAAAACCCCCAATTTTACACTTCGAACCCTAGGATTAGAGGTCCTCCAAATGGTGGCCAAATGAAAATTGGCTCCGATCAATTCGAAGCCCTCGATGCGCTCTTTAATTTGCCGCAAACGGCATACAAAATCTCCAAATAGTGAGAGAGAGATCTAAAGTTGAAGTTGTAGAAAAAGAAAAAGAAAAAAGAGAATTGGGAAGGTGAAAGAGAGACCTGTGGGAGAGATAGAGAGAATTGAGATCCAAAGTGGTCTTTAGACCACTTAAATGGGGTGAGGTGGGTTCCACCAAATTTTATTTTCTTTTCCCTTTTCTTTTGCTTTTAATTTTCACCACATACACACATAATTACACATATGCACATACTAATTTCAACCACATAAAATTCATTAAACAAAATGCATGAAATACTAATGGACCCAACTAAAATCCCTATACACAACAGTACCAGTAACAGGTCCTACACGGGTCCGTTCGGTCCGAAAACTGAAAAATGCACAAATGATCACCCTTACATTTCAAAGAATCCTGGACTCAATGAAATGTCCCAAACAACTCACAAACACAACCGGTACACCCTGTAGTGTCCGGTACGCAAAACGATAAAAAACGGAAATGCCCTTGCGGCGTTAAAATTTCCAAAAAAGAAAAATGTCGAAAATTGGAAACATCACAATCTCCCCAACTTAAAAGGATTTCGTCCCCGAAATCAAGCCATACCTGGGGAAGAAAATAATGTTGGATACTTGCAGCGAACTTCCTGCTCAAGCTCCCAAGTAGCCTCATCGACTCCGTAGTGCTTCCAAAGAACTTTTACTAACGGTATCGTCTTGTCCTTTAACACTTTCTGCCGTGTGTCAATGATCTGAACTAGTCCCTCTTCATAGGAGACATCCTCATCAATATTCACATCAACCCAATCCAAAACATGAGATGGATCTGGTTCATACTTCCGTAGCATCGACACATGAAAAACATTGTGAACCCTGTCCATCTACGGTGGCAAAGCAAGTCTGTAGGCAACATCTCCTACACGGTCCAAAATCTCAAACGGTCCGATGAACCGTGGCGACAACTTAC